CAACTGAGAGCTGATAGCTCAGCAATTATGCAGGAGAAAGTACAGATGGATAGGGCATACATTGAGGAGGCCGCGCGAATGACATCACACGACAGGCAATGCCTCGAGTGGAATCGCGATGGGAAGCGACGAGTGGGTCATCAGAGTGACGGTGATATGGAGGACATTGTGTAAGAGAGTTCGGTCAGTCGTGGACCTAGCTGAAGAGGACGGCAGAAAACAGAACAAAGTGGAGATCTGTTGTTGAAGCCCTATGTTCCACTCAGAATGCAAGGGAGTAATATTATATATATATATATATATACAGTTTTACCACTTGAGAATGGCATCATTGGAAAGAGTAACACCTCGATGAACGTCTTTTCTTTTATGTGATCTGTTGGGGATTTTTAAGTTCAGAATATTCACTGCAGAGAAATTACAGGAAGAATTTATGCTTCTCGAAAAAATGTTGAAAACAACGGTTACCCTCAGAGGTTCATTAACAAGTATGAAAGATCTTAAGGTTCAAATGTCACACACATCACTGTGGGAAAAAAGCCCATCTACATTCAACTTGAATATAAAGGTGAAAATATTACAGCAGTTGTCAACAGAAGATTGAGGACGTCACTAGCCAGAGCCTATCCTGTAGCTAAGCTGGTTCCCGTCTATCGGACGACATGCTCTTTGGTGCAATTAAAAGTCAACAGATATCCTTCTCATGTTAACTCCAACTGTGTATACAAATTTACATGTATCTGCGGGAGCAGTTACATTGGAAGAACAGAAAGAAGGGCATACCAACGATTTTCTGAACATGTACCAATAGGCTTATGTCTAAAAAGAACAAATGCTTTAAACAGTGTCATAGCCAGACATCTTCTTGACACGGATCATGGGATGGATGCTGCGAAATCGTTTGAAATTAAAAATAAGCAAAAGAGTTCAATGCTCTTGAAGTCCGCCGAAGCAATCTCCATCAAGCGCCTGAAACCCAATTTATGCGTTCAAAAAGAAGCCGTTATCAGTTTTTCCTTGCCGTAGTAACTGGATATTTTCGCCCTCTCTTTCATCTGGTTACGTAATACCGAAATATTTCATTGTGTATGATTATTATTTTTTGGGATAAAGTGTTTATTACTATTAGCATTATATGCATATATTGATTGATTTTTGTTTAAAATGAACTCTCTGTGCAAGCATGTTAAAATTGTTTCTGCACATAAACTTAACAATGTCTTTGGACTGTAAGCAGCAGCTGATGAGAAACCAACGAAATAAATGATGGTACCATTTTATTCCTGCGAAAACTGTTGTTCTTGCTTTATTCAAACACTTTCTTTAAGTGTGATAATGAAAAAGTCTACTGCCTAGTGAATTAGTGAATACTTTTACTACTTTAAATAAAACCTGTACCAATAAGTAGACATCATTCTTCCACAAAGTGTCTTTTGAGAAATCCTTCGACACTAAGAGTATTTCGACGCCTAACCATTACAATAGCAGTCCTTTTCAGTTTTAATTAATGTATTAGGTGGGCAGTATTAATACTAAACATAATGCTCGTTAATGAGAATTGCGTCGAACTACATACTACTGATTGATTGATTAATATGAGTAGTTGTACGCAACTCATACCAACCAGTATTGCTTGCTAACCAGATCAAAGTGATCTAAGCACCAGATGATCATTTCACTCTGGTTCCAACATAGAACTTTGCACTGATGTGCACCAGTTCGAGTCGCCACACTCCATATAGCACACAAAGCAACAGAAGAAAGTAAAAAGAAAGACAAAATAGAGACAGCATACAGAGGTACAAGGAAAAATAATGTTAATATCGAAGGATAATATAGTTTTATTAGGTACTGTAAGTCACAAGGAGTGGATGCATCTGCACCAGCCATTGACAACGATTTTGAGATATATCACCGATTATCTCCAGCCATTGTTTTCTACCGCCCCGAGGACCCCAACCAGGAAGCCTACATCTTCCTACGTGGCTGACCTAAACTAACTGTTATGGATTTCAGTGACTGATGAAGCCATGTTGTGGTTTGACCACCACTGGCTAACTCTTTTTCAACCTCACTCTATGTCAGCTAACATCGCCCATGTCGAGGAAGCCGATGACTAGACATATGTCGGTGGCACAGTGGTTAGGACTCTCGCCGACCATGCACGTGGTCCGGGGTTCGAGTCCACGCCGGCGCACACCTGATATCTATGGTCGGCCTGCGAAATTTGGGCTACCGAAATCCATGCTGAAAATTCCATACTTGTACCAAAAATACAGTGTGGAATCAATCTGTAAATCAAAACTAAAAAAATTAAAAAAATATAGTAACCATCTCAGTCGATGTAATTTCACAGCCTCGTCGATTGATTTCCTCTCGTTACCTAGCACTCGACTGATGCCTCACCTCATTATTGCTCACCTTATTATACCACTTCACACGAAGGATGGAACGCAGGCACCTATGATCAAACACAGCTAGTCTTTTCTTGTCCTCTACTTTCAATGGCCAGGACTTACAGCAAGAAGACTGATACCGGCGAGCTCCGATTATGATGAGGAGCGAAAGCCACTCAAACGCAAACTAACAAGAAGTCTTCGCGACGACCATGAACAGTGGTGGGCGACAAAAGTGAAAGAGATGAACAAGGCATCGACGATTGGTAACACCAGACAACTATTTATACTTATCAGGGAAACAAGTTGTAAAAAACAGACGATCATTTCACTCGTTGGGGATCAAGCGCATTAGCTGACTGACAGCACAAAGCCTAACCAATTCAGATTACCTGATTTCTATCAAGCTACTTGGGCGAACTTCTAAAGCAAATTAGAGATTAAATCTAATCAGTTTCCTTAGGCAATCAACGATGGGCCAGGCTCCAAAACAAGCGAAATAACCGTCCGTCATTTTGATCACTTCGAGCTGGCTAGCAAGCACTACTGGTTGATGTCAGTAGTATACAACTAGTTATATCGGTCAATCTGTAGTATATGGTTCCGTGTAATTATGCTTGGTTTCTTGATTATCATTTATGGTATCAAGGAGATCACATATTGTGATATGAAATATTTCAGTTTCCATAGGAAGCTGTAGTAAGATCTTACCTCAGACTGCGTAAATTGCATGCAAATCGATAAATTTGTAACTTGATTTACTTAATGAGACGTTGAAAACAATTAGCAAACTAGAATTCCCTGTTAACCACGTCAAAGACATTTCTCTCTCTCTCCCTCTAGTCGTATAACCCAATATACTTTACTCACTGTCTAAACTGCAATCAGCTCAAATGAGCTAATTGCTGAACTCAACATTACTGGTGTGCGGCATGTATTCAAAAGGAATAAATGATGAAACTTCAATTGAGGATTATGTTCTCTGCTCCCCTTGAATCCTCAACACAACGATTATGCCTAACAGTTTGAGGCGTCAACTATATTTTGCTGTCAACTAACTACAAATAGGTACTCTCCTTAAATCTGTTCAAAAGCAAGTGTATGTGACAATAATAATAATAAGGGGGTAAATTGTAACAGAACAATACAAGAAAAGTGGGAAGCCGTGACTACCAAGATTCACCAAGTTGAGCGTGAGGATAGATAATCACTGATCACGTTGACTTCATCATAGATGTGTTAATGGACTTAACCCTAGGTGACTTCAGCGACTCAGGGATTGACTTGCTACCTGGGAATAATCTCGTTGACTTGGAATATGCAGACGATATAGTCCTTCTAGGCGAAGACGCTGACGAAATGCAGAGTCTTCTAAACACCTTGAGCCGCAATCTACGAATGTTTGGCATGCGATTCGCTCCAGCCAAATGCAAGATGATCCTACAGGACTGAACTACAGCGACTCCTAGTTTAAAAATAGGAAGTGAAGTTGTAGAACATGTCGACCGCTTCTCTTATTTGAGAAGTACCATCAGCCCCAACGGGCTGATCTCTGACGAAATCTTAGCAAGAATACAGGGGGCTCGTTTCGCATTTGCCAGTTTACGCCGTCTCTGGCGTAGACGAGGTGTTCGACTATCGACCAAAGGGCGGGTGTACTGCTCATCAGTCCGCTCCGTCCTCCTTTATGGTTGTGAGACTTGGCCACTGAGAGTGGAAGACATGAAAAGACTAGCTGTCTTTGATCATAGGTGCCTGCGCTCTATTTCCCGTGTAAAGTGGCATAATAAGGTGAGCAACATGGAGGTTAGGCGTCGAGTTCTAGGTAAACAGGGGAAATCAATCGACGAAGTCGTGAAGCTACAAAGACTGAGATGGTTAGGACATGTGTTACGTATGCCAAGCCATCGCCTTCCTCGACGAGCAATGTTAGCGGATATAGGGTCAGGCTGGAAAAAAGCTAGCGGCGGTCAAACAAAAACTTGGCACCAGTCAATGAAATCCACAACAGTTGGTCTAAGCCACGTAGAAAGGTGTAGACTTCCAGGCTGGGGTCCTCGGGACGGTAAAAATCTATGGTTGGAAACAATTGGTGACATGGCTCAAAACCGTTCTCAGTGGCGCAGATGCATCCACTCCCTGTGACTTATGATCTTCAATGAAACTGTTTTGTATTTCTTTATCACTTCTTTGTCTCACACCTCTGCTCACTGTTTCTATTATGCTTTTCTTGTACTTTCTTCTCTTGCTTCGCGTGCTACACGGAATGTGGCGACTTGAACTTCCGCACATTTGTGCAAAGTTCTATGTCGGAAACAGACAGACAGACAGATCACGTTGACTAATGGTTACGCTCTATAGCGAATTCGCAGAAGTTAGAATTAGTAGGACATCGAAAGTCGTTCCAGTGGCTGAATAGTACACGAGTTCACCTTGGAACCTGAAGGTCTGGGGTTCGATCCCTAGCGGTACGCTCATGGGTACGTAGTACTGAAGAATCCCACGCCAGGGCGAAACATCCCTCCAGTACACTCTGGAGGCTTCAGCAGCACCCTAACTGAATTCAATTCGTGATCAAAATTGAAATAAAACAAATACACTCACTTCCACCACTTGGTAAACTGCTATCATCTGAGACAAAACGTAGTTGATGCTGCTGCTGTTGCTGATGATGATCTTTTAATTCCCCCCTTTGTAAACCATCTCCAGTTGTAGGATTTGGAATCCATAAATTAGGAAGATCTGTAAACTTGGATGAATTCGACGGTAACGGTGGAGGCGGATATTCAGGTGGTGGAGGAATAGTATTTTGTCTTCTTTTTTCTTCACGAATTATTATTGGACTATTTAAAGTGTGCGGAATAAATTGCCAATTACAGTTGGATACTGTCAGCTGATTTGCATTCATAGATTCTTGAGATTCCAGTGGATTTAAGTGATCGCCTAGACTGAATGAATTTGAGCTAAAACCAGGCTGACTATTTTCCTAAATAGAAAAAATAGAAAAATAAATAATAATGTATTAGAATATGGGGAAACCATAAGGTATTTGAGTAGTATAATATTATTTAAATCATGATTTATCCCTCATTGACCTCTGCATCTTTTCTTAAGTATATTATTTGTCAGAAATGTTAAGGTTGACGCCAGAACAGTGAAAGAAACTATGAGTTGTGATTCAGAAGTCTAGAGGTTTCATTCATGGCTACTGATCCAGAAGAGCTTAATGCATCCCAGTTTCCTCTACCTAGACAAGCAGACGGAAAAATAAACTGAGCGAGTTTCAATATACAACTTTGCACAGAAGTGCACCAATTCAACTTGCCAAACTACTTTCATGTAAGTAGAGAAAGGAGAGAAGAGATTCAAAGGAACTATAAGGACCATAAATATACGCGAGAAAGAAAAGCAGCGTTGAAAAACACGGGGGCTGAATGGATCTGGGACATCACAAAGAGTGAATACACCTGAGCCATATCACCAACAGTTTCAAGCATCCCGAGGGTCCCCACCAGACAGTCTATACTTCCCTACTTGAGTGGTTCAAGCGAACTGTTAAAGACTTCGTGGATTGGTGGTAGCTATTTGGTTTGACCGATCCTAACTCTTTTATAGCCTAACCACATGCCATCTAACATTAGTCGACGAGAAAGACGGTGACTTGGAATGTACGGCACATTTACAAGCTATCTCAATCGATGTCGCTTCACAACCTCATCTATTGACTTGCCCTCTTTGCCTAACACTCTATGACTAACCTAGATACTAAACACCATATCATACCACTTAACACACCGGATAGAATGCCACACGAGATTTTTGTGTCAGTACTGAGATTTCATCAGAAATCAGTTCATTAGGACTGACAATACTTCTTCAAAATAAGTGAAGTGATCAACAGGTTCAACCACTACACTCTTCCTCTTTAAACTACCAGTCAGTACATACCAGTCCTGCAGTATCATCTTAGATTTGACACAGGAGAATTGCGAGGACATACAGAGATTCCTACTCAAGGTGTTCAGAAGACTCTACATTTTATCAGCGTTTTCAGCTAGAAGGAAAATATCACTCGTATATTATAAGTCAACCATATTTAGCCTAAAGTATCGATAAAGACGCATAGCGTACGCAACTTACAAGGGGCTGTTTACACAAATCAAAAGGCATCATCTAAGTTATATTCTTCTAAATAACCATGGTATGCCAGTGTAATGAACAGACTATAATCGCTTTACATACCACTTATTTCCTTAACTATGCTATAGGGATGTCAGAGACAAAATAGAGGAAACGTCGTAATCAATATACACATCAAGATAAAAACTGTTAACGCATACTCTCGTCAACTGACATGATAGATCATCCTCAAAAGTGTACGCTTTTTGCTAGACTCTAAGTTGAAAAAAAATCACCTAGTTAATGTAATCCCAAAACGATGCTGGTGGTATGGAAATATTTAACTTTCTTTGTCTAACACTTAGTTTTGACTTTGTTTTTTTTGAATGACTACTTAAGCATTCTGAAGAGCGAAGAACACTCATATTACGTTAGATTTTTTATTTATTTTTTTGCATATGAACTTCAGGAAGAGATTTCTTAGGTGTCACTATTTCACATTAATCACCTTTAAAATACATCTCAGACATGAAAAGTGGAAAACAATGAAGGTAGTTATAGACCATTTTCAATAGAAGCAGATTTTGATTTACTTTTCATTCAAACATATTAAAATAAACGATGATTAAAGCAAAAATTGATGATTTGGAAATAATATGACTGCTAAGATTAACAATAGATGCATCAGTGGTTCACCGGCAGAACGCTAACCAAGCATGGACGTGTTCCGGGGATCGATCCTCGGTCGACGCACTCCTAAACCTCGCTAAGCCGGTAGTGAGGCCGGTAAAAAGGCGAGGTTGGATGTGAGGTTATCAACCCCTGCTTTATAGCTGTGAGACCTGGCTATTGAGACTAGAAGACATGAAAAGCCTGGCTAGCTGTCTTTGGTCATAGGTGTCGACGTGCTGTCTCCCGTGTGAAGTGACATCGGTAGAGTGCTAAGTAAGGAGGGGAAATCAATCAACGAGGCTGGGAAGTTACATCGACTGAGATGGTTAGGATATGTGTTACGCATGCCTAGCCATCGCCTTCCTCGACAATGGGCAATGTTAGCTGACATAGGATAGATCAGGTTGAAAAAGACTTAGCCTAGCCAGTGGTGGTCAAACGAAAACATCGCTTCATCAGTCAATAAAATTCACAACAGTTAGTTTAAGCCGACTGTCCATGTAGGAAGGTGTAGGCCTCCTGGTTGAGGTCCTCGGGACGGTAAAAACCAATGGCTGGAGACTATCAGTGACATGGCTAAAAATCGTTCTCAATGGCTGACGCAGATGCATCCACTCCTAGTGACTTATGATTTCCAATGAAACTATATCGTTTTTCGTTATTACTATTCCTTTGTCTCACACCTCTGTTTACTATCTCTATTATGCATTTCTTCTACTTTCTTCTCTCGCTTTGTGTGCTACATGGATTGTGGTGACTTGAACTGCTGTACATTGGTGCAAAGCTATATGTCGAAAACGGACAGACCCCACCCTGTAAAAATAAAAGAAAGCCATCAAAAGTCTAACCTGAAGCCCTATACTCCACTCAGAAGGTTAAGGAATAAAATATGAAAGTAAGATTAAAAATGTACTCAGGAATGACATGAGTAATTGGCCGCATGATTAACAGTGAACAGAGATGATATTTGCTAGCTACCTTAGTGTAGTCCACTCCAAAGATTTTCAATAAGTCAATAAACTAACACATGCATTTTGCTTCGAATTGCAAGCGCTTAATCAAAAGGCTGAGTCAACTTCGTGATTTTGGGGTCGGTAATAGCATACCTAAGCCATTAGTAAGTTACACAGATTCGTACAATCTAATTTAACTGGAATGCTCCTCCAGACAAACAACACAATAACCAATTGACCACTTCAAAATATCTCCTATATTGAGATAGGCACATAAGTCAGACTGGAAAAACTAATGACCGGAATGACAACAATAAAAAACGACATCAACCGCAACAACCTTTATTAGACAAAAAATATGCTACATTATATTTACAAATCCTCAAAAGTGTAAGCTATACACAAAAGAATCGAAACCTTTCAAGAAGATTATCATGCCACTACATGCATAAATCATGACTTCACAGTTAACAAAGAAGCTTATCTGTCCTAAGTTACGTAACGTAATTCCCGTTGTCAAACTTTGATTTAAACGTTAAAAATGTGCAGTTCAGGGAAAACTCAAGTTTTTTTTACAGTTATGAACACGAGTTACTCGTTGATGAGGTTACAGACACTATCAATAAAATATCCAAATCTCCGGCAACTCCACGATATGCTAGGACAACAAACAAAGCATCTGTCGTATTCAGCTAAATACCAGCAACAAACATATATGGCATTCTAAAGGTTAAAACAATCTTGTACAAATCACATGAGAACAGACCTAGTAATACTTTTTTTACAAACTGAGGAGAAGTAAAACCTTAAACATACAGACATAGTAAACAAATATCTACGACTTTTAGTTAAGAAAACAATTGTGCAGCCGTGGCTGATTTGTCTAAGCATTCGACTTTCAACCACTAGGTTACGTGTTCGAACCTAAATCGTTTAACTAGTGGATAACCAGGACTGAGAGATGTTAAGGAAGCAATAGTATCAAATTGCACACTACATTTAACGAAAGAATCAAAAGTCAAGTGGGACATTTATATCAGCGGTCACTTTCTTGGAGTTAATCCAATATTCTAAGTAACTGAAGTGGTAAGTGCACTAGATCGCATCACTCTCCCTATCTCCACACTTTGTATTGACACAAATAACTCTTAATGCAACAGTTTACATTTCAGGGACAGGACATGAATTTTAAACATTCTCTAATTGTTTGTAATATTATACAACTGGATGCCCTTATTCATTAAGCCTCTGACCTTTGGTATTGAACAGTTTGTTAAATATAAATAATATAAAACTTAACAATCTGGACTGCTCTTACACTAACTATCGGACAGTAAAAAGTAACTCATCTTGTTTGTTTCTATATCAACTGGTCCTAAGTACTAAAGATCACACCTAAGTAAGAATCGAAATGTTTGGTGTTTGAAACAATGGGTACTCGATTCGAGACTCATTGCGAAAACCATCACTCACTGAGGATTGTAGTCACATCCAGCTGACGGGTTCCAAAGCAGGAAGAAATGAGATTTCTAGATTCTAATCCTAGTTACTATGCAATAAATAACAAAAATAAAAGGTCTTAATTACCTTTAACTCTTATCTAATAACTATGCACCTGATAAATAAATCCCGGTTCAACAGTGATCATGACATAAATATCGATCAGTTTTCAAAGAGAATAGCTCACCATATGTCAAAGTAAATATTTTAAAATTAACTGTTTGAGACCATTATTTTTCATCTTTTTGACTTCCAAGTGGAACATGCGGCTTGAAGCATGAGTCTTATATTTTCAGTAGCAGTAGTGGTGGGTGATGCTGTTGTTCACGGGTTGAGATTGCTGGCCTCAGGCCTAGCTATTCTTTTTTTCCGGGCTTACTACAGACTAAACATGGATTAGGAGAACGTCAAACCCCAGTTCTCAATGGCGCAGATGCATCCACTCCTAGTGACTTATGGTTTCCAATGAAACTATATCGTTTTTCGTTATTACTATTCCTTCGTCTCACACCTCTGTTTACTATCTCTATTATGCATTTCTTCTACTTTCTTCTCTCACTTTGTGTGCTGCATGGAGTGCGGCGACTTGAACTGCTGTACATTGGTGCAAAGCTATATGTCGAAAACAGACAGACAGAACCCCAAACCACGTGCTCAGTTGGCGAGCATTCAACCACTAAACGAACCAATTAGCGGACACATCAAAAGAAGTTTAAAGGCTCAAACAACAAAGGTAGTGAAA